ATCACAGATGTTTCTGCCTCAGTGTGACAAATAACATTATACATTTGTGGGAGATGTATTATTAAAACAGTTCCAAAAGATATGTTACAGAAGAAGCAAAGTTTTCTAAAATAAAAGACATTTTAGTCAAAACGGAAAGTCACCTGTGTATGAGCAATTTGGCACAGGAAATCAAGATTTTGGCAGGGAAAATCTAGCTTATGGTGTATCCACGACGCAAGAGCTATACCCAAAGATAGAAAGGGTGGAGGCAGGGAAAGAATTCATAGAAATTTATCAAGGAAACGACACATCTATTACACTTTGACTGCAAGTGATCTATTTATAGCATGCAAATGTGTCATTTCTTCTTAACTATTTTACATTACCATTTTGGAATGGGGTAGGTGGGGGCCGGAGAGCAGAAACCAGTGATTGCAAATAGTCTGATTATCTTGACAACCACCATGCAGCCTCTTAAGTGTGACACTCCTGCAAACCTCTTTAACAGCCCCGTGAAATTTGGAACATCACTTGGTTCCACTACCTACAGGGAAATACAATTCTTGTCAGGAGTTACCTGCGGCTGATGCAGCTGACAAATGTTATCTAATCAAGTCTATAAGCATCTCAGACAGGTGTGCCTCTCCCCCAGCCTAGGAAATCACCCTGAATAATTCATTAACTAATATGTTTCTCTAAGCCAATCTACCTGTGGTTTGAAAAATAAAATCCCGTTGTGCTACTTTTTGCATGGAAACAGAGAGGCTTTAGGCTGCTCATTAGAAATGACACATAATTCCTTTCTCTTTTTTGCTATTGAAAATTTTATATTAGGACCATATAAGTTTTGCCACTCTATAACAAATTTCATTGTTGGCTTTTACATCATACTATTGATCTTTCTCACATTTAAGAATAACCCTCCCTGTAAGTTCCAGCCCATTTCTAACTCAACATCCCCTCATAAACCTAACCTAGCCTCAGACATAAATGCACTTGCCCTACAGTGCCTGGACAAATGAATCTCAGAGCCTCAGCATGGTTGAGCTCAGCATCTCTGCTTCTAGCCACACTCTCACAACCCACAGTGACAGCTGGGATGCTGGTTTGCTTAACCATCTGGATCTCAAAAGAGTGTGGACATGGCATATGCCCTTATATTTCTAGGAACCCATCCCAAGGCTGTTTCCTTTTATCTGTGATCTGTAAGTGTTAGTGCATTCACTGGGGTAGGGATTGCTAAAATACAGGAGCTGGACTTTGTCCTAGTGTTTCTGACTTAGCAGCCCTGGAGAAGGTCAGAGCATACGTGTTTGTAGCAAGTGTCAAGGTGATACTGAGGCTGATATCTGGGATCATACTTTTAAGAAATCCCGAGCCCTATTGTTATCTAAGGTGAAAATGCCTAAGGGAAAAAGAGGCCTGGGGTTCCCTTGTCCGAGGAGGCTGTCTAGTTATGTTTTTATAAGTAGGGGTTTTGGCTATTGAGAACAAATTGAACAAAGAGGTAGGTGTGTGTGTGTGTGTGTGTGTGTGTGTGTGTGTGTGTGTATACATGTGGACTCTAGACACAATATAAGCATCTGCTTCACACTCCTGCCACCCTGGCTTCTCCACCACAAAACCCTCTAACTCTGAGCCAAAATCATCCCTCCTCACTGAAACCACTTTTGCCAGGTTTTTTGTTATGAAAGCAAAGTAACTGATACACGTTGGATATAAATGCTGGTAATCTTAGAAAGAATTCTAAGTGAAATACACAGTTGAGGGCTACTGTGATATTAAAATTATCTTCTCCATTTGTGTCAATGTAGAAAATAACAGACAGTTGCCAGGCACTGGTGGCATACACCTTTAATCCCAGAACTTGGGAGGCAGAAGCAGATGGATCTCTGTGAGTTCAGGCCAGTCTGGTCTACAGAGTGAGTGCCAGGACAGGTTCCAAAGCAATACAGAGAAAACCTGTCTCAAAAAATGAAAAGAAAAGGAAAAATAGTCAGTGACTAAGTCTTGAACTCAGCCATACTACATTACCTGCACAGGCTGAAATCATGTGATGTCTTAATTAAAAATCCAAACTACAAAAACTGAAACTTTCTGAGTGCAAACGTGAGCCCTCCAGTAGAAGATTCCATACCATGGAAATTTTATTTCAAGAACAAAGTGATTTCAAATGTAATTGTGGCATATGTGGTACACTACAGTATGGACTTTGAACATCATTCAAAGACCCAAGGGTTAAAGGTTTGTCCCTATTGGGAGATAGTAGAACCTTTAAAAGATGAGGCATAGTGAGAAGTCTTTAAGGAAATACAAGAGCATAAACCCAGGTTTGCTCCCTGACCTCCCAAACTTGATGCAGCCCATGACATGATAACTCATCAAAGTAACAGAGTCAAGTAAGCATGGACTGCAACATCTAAAACTATGACTCAAAATTAAAATTCCCTCTTTGTAGGTCGATTGTTTGGGGTATTTTGTTACAATGGTAGAAGGCTGCTTAATAGAAGGTACAAATAAAATCAGTGAATTTTACTTAGACTTGGTTCTAATCCCAAAATATTTCATTATGTATATACACATATTCCAAACTATGGGAGAGAAACAAAATCTGAAATACTGTTTGTCTTGAGTACTTTGGGCATAGGAAATAACTTTCACTAGTGTATATTGAGAAAATGATTTAACCTTTCTAATTTGTTTTATCATCTATATAGGAGAATAAAACATCTAATACCTTTAGTCATTCATGAACAACTGAAGTCAGAGCATTCACTGAGTCAATTCTTGCTTTTTCATTCATTATGTCACTAACGCACTTAACAAATATTTATTGATCACTGAACTACATACCAAGCACCATTATAGACAATGTCAAGTTTAAAATCTCAATCAAAGCAATGATCACAACAGTGCAGCTTATCCTTGCTCTCACAACACTTGGTTAAGTCTGGAAACATAGCTGTGTTCAAAAAGTGTTTACCACCACCGGTTTCTCAACAGGAGATAATGATGGTTACTTATGCAAAATGAAAAGATAGGACAGATGATAGGAGATGTCATTCTGTATATGTTTCTCATACTGGTTAATAAATAAAGCACTGTTGGCCAATAGGAAAGGAGGATAGGAGGAACTAGGAGACAAGGAGGAAGAGGAAGTGGTAAGGAGGAGTCAAGATGGAGAGTCTGGAGAGAGCAGTATGCGGCAGCCGGCTCCTGGTAAGAAGAACACATGGACATACATAGATTAACACAAATGGGTTAATAACTAAAGCAGAGCTAGCCGATAAGAAACAAGTAACCGGGCCAACAGTATTGTATCAAATACAGAGTCTCCGTGCATTATCTGGGGCTGGCGCAGCGGCAGGACAAGACCAGGCAGTGGCAGGCGGAAAAACCTGTACTCGTTACAGACAGAAGACAATAGTGCTTGGTCCTATAGTTATGATTAATATATCAGTATGACATATATTATAAATTTTAATACTCAAATACTTATTTTCCTTTTCTGATCATAAGCCAAAGGATAATATACCTATGGAAACAAGACTTCAGAAATGATCCTGCGTCAGAAAAAAAGATGGACATTAAAGAAACTCGTTATGGAGTTTACTTCCAATATGGCAAGACTAGCCATTTGGACAAGATACTGCTCTTGTCTGGAATGTTTGACTTTGTACTATATAAACTGGACATGCAGGACCCACAGAAAAGTGACTGGTGATTCAAGATGGACATTGCTACAGAGTTCCTGCTTCATGGAAGAGTCTGTGAGACAGTATGCAGGACAGTATGCAGAATAAGGAGCAAGCCCCCTCATTCATTGTCCAGGAGAGAGCATTGCAGCCTAGTGTCAGACTCCCTGACCCTTTCAGAACAGGAATGTCATGTTTTTCAGTGGTGAGTCCTCCATAGTGCTTGATCAATGCCTAAAGCATTTGCAGGCTTGACACAACACAAGAAATCTGCGTAAATAAGAATCAATAACAATATTTGCGCAAGGACTGAGCTTTGACTATCAGGTAACCAGATGGGGCAGCTTCTCAATGTGGTATTTGAAAGCATGACTACAGTCTATAATTATCTCTCTGCTCTCAAATAACACTATACATAAGCATCGTAAAGGATTAAATAAATTTTATAACAAATAAGTCTCTTTTCACCGTAAATTAATAAATTTCCTTTTCATATTATTTTAGCTATCTGGGTCCTTAGCCTTTACTTAATGACGATGCACTTGATTAAATAAAATGAAAGAAAAATGAAAGTTCTTTCAGACATTAAAATGAGTAATGAGTTTAGACTTAATCCAAAAGCAATTTGACTTTAAACATTCATATGAAATTAAATGAGCCATTGAATTTGCTATATAAGCAAGCATTAATCTTATCAAGCTATGAAAACTAGAAAGCTATACAGTCACCCATTAATTTCAGAGCCTAATACAAGGTCTGTTTAATGCCTACACTCCATTAAAAAGTCTTATTCCACAATATAAGTGCTTTTTCATAAAAGTTTAAACCCCCATTCATTTTTTCACTGCTCCAATCATGTGATAATCTACTCTGACAAGATTATGACTGCAAACTGGAGTACAGTATGCAATGTCATGTGAAACAAATTTTGTTCAGGCGAGCTTCCATCAAAAGCAAATTTAAGGAGGACATTTATATCATTGGCAGGATAGTGTGCATAAATCACATATCCCACTCCTCCCCCACACAAGGGTGTTTCCCTTGGAGAAGGCACTTAGCAATTCTCCCATTAAGTAGATAGACACCAGTGTTGCTCAGAAGCAGGATTCTTTCATAAAATCACACAGGGCAAAAGCACTACTCCAGGACAAATGAATATGCAATAAGCAGGTACACAGTTCAATGTTGAAATCAAATTACATGATCACTTCACATATTTGAAATACTCATATTAAAAACTGAATAGTAAGTTTTTTGGAAATTCTTTATTATTTCTCTTATATAATACATCCAACTGCGCTCTTTTCGGGTCTTGGCTCCAAGATGACCAAAAAAAGGAGGAACAACGGGTGTGCCAAGAAGGGCAGCGGCCACATGCAGCCCATTCGCTGCACGAACTGCGCCCACTGCGTGCCCAAGGACAAGGCCATTAAGAAATTCGTCATCCGCAACATCTTGGAGGCCGCTGTCGTCAGGGACATATCCAAAGCAAGCGTCTTCGACGCCTATGTGCTTCCCAAGCTCTATGTTAAGCTGCACTACTGTGTGAGCTGTGCCATCCATAGCAAAGTAATCAGGAATCGATCTTGAGAAGCCCGGAAGGACTGAACACCCCCGCCACGATTTAGACCTGCTGGTGCTGTGCCACGACCTCCTCCAAAACCCATGTAAAGAGATGGCTTCGTGAAGACAAGTAAAAAACACTTATACTTTAAAAAAAAAAAAAATACATCCAATTGCAACATTCCCTCCTTCCCCTCCTCACAATACTTCCCAGACTTCTCCTCTCCCCCAGATCTTCTGTTCCTGTTTCCCTTTAGAAAAGAGGTCTCTGAAGGATAGCAACTTGCATAACAACCACAACCCAGTAGAAGAAAAGAGGTCCCAGGAGCAGGTAAAAAGTGTTGGAGACATTCCCACTCCCACTGTTAGGAGTCCAACAAAAACCCCAAGCTAAACAATCATAGCATGTATCCAAGGGGCCTGGAGCAGACCCATGCAGGCTCCATGTTGCCAGTCTCTGTGAGTCCCTATGAGCCCTGGTTAGTTGATTCTGCATGTTTTCTTGTACTGTCCTTGACCCGCCCTCCCCCCAGCTCCTAAAATCCTACCTCACCCTATTCCTCGCCCTGAGCTCAGCCTAATGTTTGGCTACGGATCTCTGTATCTGCTCCTGTCAGCTGCTGCGGGAAACCTCTCTAATGGTGATTGGGATAGTTTCTAATCCTATGAATATAGCAGAATATCATTAGGAATAATTTCATTGACTTTGTCGGTTGTGTTTGATCCTACCCTAGGCCTCTGAGCCATCCAGTATATAGATCCTGGTCATCTAGGTAATGTAGCGCTATATGTTACCATCCCACTTCACTCTTAAGACCATAGTTACACAAGGAGTTTGAGAGTAATAGTGTTTTGTAAGTCGGTGTATAAATACACATATAAAGTTTAGATGACTGAACTAACAATGCTCCCTCTGAGAGCAGAAGACCACCTAACAAAAAACCCAACACCAGGCATAAGAAGCCCTCTTTTGAGTTGGTGGTCAGAGTTGCCCAAGAGTCTCCCAAAACATACAGGCTATTGTTATTGCCTTTGACCCCTAGAGGTGAAAGGTAAATTCCTATTGCTGAAGACACTATGCACTTCAGACACAGGGCCCAGAAGTCCCTGAGCTGGAACTTACCTACAGGTCTAAGGACTAGCTTTCATACTATTGGAAGACATCATGCGAGTTTCCAAGGAAGGAAGCAACAACCATCATGCCTAGCTATGACTCTATGAACCACAACAACCAGCATGACATGATAACTATAAGGGTACAGTAGTGCCATGTATACATTGGTGATACCCAACAGCTCTCTAATCAGATTTAAGACCTGCTGAAAACGAACAACTTCATGCCTGGTACTGTAAACCTAGCCAATTTCTGGAGCTACTGAAGTCAACTATCTTTGAGAAGAGCCTAGAACCACCACTTCACTAAGCCAGCATAATCCCTAACTACATTCGAAGTATTTATTCTTACACCAATAGATAAGTGCAGTCTTCACTCCCCCATCAAGGAAAGCTCCTCTTTTAAACATATGGAAACCATTACAGAAAACCACAAGCAATCAAAATGCAGAGTTGTGGAGAACAGTCCCAACACAAACATCTATGATACATAACAGCTCCCAAATTAAGGTTCAGGAATTATTGTGGAAGAAGGAACAAAAAGATTATAAGAGCCAGAGAATCAGGGAGTTTTCTGTGAGTCTGTGTCTCCTAGGAAAATCAGAAGCTTACCAAACAAAGTAAAGTCTTACCAATGAGAGGGAGAGTCTTCCCCAGGGAATAGAATACTGATTCTATTCAATACCAAATGGTCATCTCTGAAAACACATACACAAGTCATATTGTACAAACTGAGAAGGTTGTATGTAAGATACGTGTGTGTGTATGTGTGTGTAGATACACACATATGTGTGTGTACGTGTGAATATATACATGTTTATTAACAACAATTAATGGAAAAAGAAGTCATGAATTTGAAACAGCAATGAGGGACTATAGTAGGGTTTGGAGGGAGGAAAGGCAAGGGGTGATCATATAATTATATTACTCTCAAAAAATAAAAGACATACTTTTTTCTTTTTTTCTTATGTGTCCTTCTGTTATACAATATGTCAACTGCAGACTCCTCCTCCCCACTACTCCAAATCCCCCCCTCGCATCTTCCCTCTCCTTCACGTCCACTGCTCCCCCATTTCCCTTCAGAAAAAAACAAGCCTCCCAGGGATATCAAGCAAATACGGCACAATAAGATGCAATAAGACTAGGCATAAGCCCTCATATGAAAGATGGACAAGGCAACCCAGTAGGAGAAAAAGGATCCCAAGAACAGACAGAAGAGTCAGAGACACTCCTACTCCCACTGTTAGTAGTCCCACAAACACCCTGGTGCAGACCCATGCAGGCTCCGTGATTGCACATCAGTCACTGTGAGCCCCTATGAGTACTGCTTAATTGATTCTGTAGACCATGTTCTCTTGGTATCCTTGGTCCCTCTAAGCTACTATGTCCTTCCTCCACCTTCCTCCATGGATTCCCTGAGCTCCACCTAATGTTTGGCTATGGTTCTCTACATCTGCTCCCATGAGCTGCCAAAGGAAGTCTCTCTGATGGTGATTGGGATAGGCATTAATCCTATGTCTCTGGGCCATCTAGTTTCCAGTTCCTAGCCACCCAAGCAGTGTCAAACATGAGCTATCTCTCCTGGTGTGGGCCTCAAGTTAAACCAGTTATGAGTCTCACAAGCTCTGAGTCACCATTGCCCCGGCACATCTTGCAGGTAGGACAAATTGTAGGTCCAAAGTTTTGTGGCTAGGTTGGCATCCCAGTCCCAACACTAGCATCCTTGCTTGGTTATAGAAGACAGCTTGTTCAGGCTCCATAACTTCCATTACTAAGTGTCCTTGCTAGTGACTTTCTAGTGACTCTAGCAAGGTTTCCACATTATGCTACATTTCCACATCATCCCCTAAGTGCCCTCTAATTTCAGTTGTCTCCCCCAGTAGTCTCTTCCTCTGTCCCTCCTTTTCCACCTGACCCCTCCTCTTCCTATCCTCACCTGTCCCTAGTCTGCAGAAACTATTCTATTTCCCCTTCCATGCATCCCTCCTAGAGCCCTTCTTGTTATTTAGCCACTCTAGGTCAGTGGATTGTAGCATAATTATCCTTTACTTAACAGCTAATATCTGCTTATGAGTGAGTACATATGTGTTTGAAAAGACATGATGTTTTTAAAAGAGAAGTAGTGTTGTCTTCATTACCTTGTAACATATTTAGCTAGGTGGCAACTTCAGATTGAATTCCATGTTAAATGTCATTGTATCTTCATGACATCAGTGTTCAAAGTACAAAATTTGCCAAACCATCAGGGCCACTTTCAATTTTATTATAAGCCATATGGCAAACTGGAGAGGAAAGCAAAGAAGTAAAGTTTATCAGGAATATGATCAAAATAGAGTCAAGTATCACTATGGTACATGCCCAGAATCCAAGCACGTGAGAAGTGAAAGCAGGAAGATCAGAAGTTCAAAGTCATCCTTGGCTACATAATAAGTTTCAAGACCAGCCTGAGCTATGTGAGATCACATCCCATAAGAAACAAAAAAGTGTATTTTGGAAGTGGTATGGACTTACAGTATCTCTAATTTCATTATATTTAGATTAAACTAAGAAATTACATATCTCACTTATCTTAAATCCCTGTCAATAAATACTTGTTCTTATTATTTAGAGACTTGCTTATAATTCATTAGCAACTTAATATTTGATATTTAAAAATTATAGCAGTAAATTTAAATAATGAAGTCTATTATTAATGAGAAAGATTTTGTGGTGTCAGAAGCAAGCCATTGCAGCAGCCTTTTTTTTTTTTTTTCTTTCTTTCTTTTGATAATGCACAGCTTCTGATACAAACTTGTTAATCCCCGGGGCTGCCACTCAAGGCATGGGATATGGGTTTAGCATTATTTTCTATGCAGTTTGACCCCATCTCTTGGTTAACTTTTTTTCCCAACTTAGTACCAAAATATGGCAGCTACTCAAGCCCTGCTGTCACTACCAGAGTGGCTTAAGTTGGCCCAAGTACCACCTTGCCCAGCACAGTACAAGTCCCCAGAGGGGCATGTCAGAAGCTTTTATTTCTTTGCACTCTCCATAGAATGTAAAGCAACTACTTTTCACAAGTTGACACTACTTATAGACAATCATAGATACCTTGAAATTCGGGGTCCTCCTCAGGAAAGAAAGGAAGGGCTTCAAGACTCCACAGGGCTCAATTCTCATGTTAGAAGGTGACTTACAGCCATGGCAACATGCACAGATGTCACATCTAAAAGTCTATTTCATGTTCAACTTTTCCATTGATTCTTAAACTCATGTTCACTCAGTTTCAAAATGGAGAGCCATGCACCTTCCTTTCTCGTCTCATTGGGGTCCCCAGATACTCATTATCCTGATGCTGGTAAAAACTTCTTTGTAAATTAGCCAGCATGCCTCTCATCACCTCTAACAGGAGTTCTGGGTGGGTGTTGCCTTTTCCATACTTCACTCCCCTGTCTCCAAAACTGGGGCTGTTATGGCCTGTACTGCTTACCTTATCACATTACAGAGATCAAATGATAAAACCGAGATAAAATTACCTGTGCTGTACAAACTGACATAAATTTAATCCTCCACAATAATTTGTTCTTTCTTCTTAACATTCTCAGAAAACACTAAAAGGAAGTTTATTTCTAGGAAACCCCCTACTGTTTGTAAAAATGGAAATTGTTTGTTCTTACACTGTTATCACAGAAAGAAAGCAAGATCATTTATATGAAAATGACTAACCATTGCCTAGCACTTTATAAACACACAAAAGCATTGTTTTCCTTTACTCTTAAGAGAAAAGGAATGAGAACTGGGGAGACAGCTTGATGGGTTAAGTGCTTGCCCCACAAGCCTGATGACCTGAGTGTGGACCCCCAGAATCCACATGAAAGCAGGATGCAGTAACACATGTTCATAATCCTGGTGCCTTCATGTGGAGATGGGAGGCA